GATTGAAAAATTTCAAAGAAAGTCTTCCAGAGAGAGTATCAAGTGTGGTGTCTCTACTGTACCATGACCTGTTTAGGTTAGGGTTGTTGCTTGTAGGTAGTGAAGTCTGGAAAAACAGAATCACATCACTTTTAGGTGTGGAAGGATTTGCAGTATTCTACCATTTTTTTCATACAAGATGGGCTTAAAAAGTGAAATAGGACAGATTCGTTGAAGTCTTCCTGTATTCTACTGCTCTGTATGTTTTGCAACTATGTATCGAACATTAGATTTCTGTGCACAGCAGTTGCAGGTAACCTTCATCTCTGTGTTTATAACTGACAAACTTTGTGGTATTTCTGTGGCACACAGTAAGTTACTATGCCCATCAACCTAATACTGAAATAATTTGTCTAACTAAGAGGGAAAGCTCGTTTCCCCTACTTTGATGCCAGCAGCATACAGAAAATCCAAAGAGATCTGACTCCTTGCTTCTCTGTCCTATTTTGGATATTGTGTGAGTGTAGCCAAAAGCGTATCTGGGTTTCTATGGGACTGTATGTCAGACAGGGATAGCTGGAGAACTTACATGCTGGAGGCCTGTGCTGCTGCTTTGGAGAAGGCGGTGATTGCTTTATAGTTGTCTGGAGGAAAAGTCTAGCCTAGCTTTTAGGGTTTGAGTTTGTGGATGGTCCAGTTCCCTACTATTCTTGCCACAGATTTACTCTGTGAATTTGAGTAATCCTTCAGTTTTTCTATGCCTCCTTGCCCCTCTGTGAAATGGGATAACAGTATACATGGCACTGGGTAGTCAGAGTAGAGAAGGAGGTGATCAAATGCTTAAATTCAGTATCAGTAAAGCTGGATAAAAGAGTGTCCAGCAGAGATTTTGGAGATATTTTTTTGTCTTTTTGATCCTACAGAAATTTCATGTACTAGTAAAATGAAATAAGTTTTATTTTCTTCTTTTTCTTAAGACAATAATAACTTTAGGAAGAAAAGAGGATTGTATTTCTCTCATTCCTTAGCTACTTAATAAGAATATATATTCCCTTCTAGGCTAGTGAGTTGCCTCAAAGCAAAAATCATCCTTTATTCTACTATTGTTTAAAAACCCAACAGTGTACTATGTTAATTTGTTACTATGCCACCCAGGCAATGCAAAGGAAGTTAAGGAAGGGATCACTTGGAAACCATTTGGAAAGAATTAGTTTCATGGGGATATTTTTAGCTTTTGCATATATGTTAAGAGCAAACAGTACTCTGTTTTTCTTCTTGGTCTTGCGTGAATTTTGATTCTAAGCATTGCTAAATATTTTTGCTATTGTTTTCAAATTGGTCATGGGCTTGTTGCAGCAAACATTGCCCAACTCTATTTGTTCAGAATAAAACCTTTCATTAATCACTGGTAACAATAGTTGAATCACACTTTCCTAGAAGTGCACTGTGTATTTGAAGTCGTTTGCTGTTCTTGCTCTTTTTTTTTTTTTTTTTTTTTTTTTTTAATCCTTTGTGCAGGTGCTGATAGCATTGAATTAGGATTAATGTAAGGGCATTTTTCCATAGTAATTGCATTGTGAATGAATATTTGCTATTTGTTAAATAGTGGAAAAAAAACCAAAACAAGGAAAGGTTAATAGGGTAGCTTTTTGTACACTTCATTACTGATTCATATTTTTTGTACCAGTTAAATTGTTTGGTATTTTATTTAGAATCACAGAATCCTAGAATATGCTGAGTTGGAAGGGACCCATCAAGTTTGAGTCCAACTCTTGGCCCTGCACAAGATACCCCAGGAATCAGACCACGTACCTGAGAGTGTTGTTCGAGAGCTTCTTGAACTCACACAGGAACTATTTGGTTTATTTAACGCTATACAGTCTTGATTCTAGACTATTCCAAACTGGACTGTTTTGTTGGGATTTTGTGAAAAGAATTGTGGTGCCTGATAAGGGAAATCTTGGATAACTGTTGTCATGCCTAGTTTGTTTAAACTCAGACAACCTAAATTTTTGAGAAACTAAGGATGGATCACATAGGTCATACAAGAGAAATTATTAAAATTTTTAAACTGTTTTACCTTTTTTCACCTTTTGAGTGTTAGTTAAGAGCTACACAAATTATTCAGTTTATTACTTGCATTTGCACAATATTAGTTCTACGTAATTCTCGGGTTTTTCAAATCGTGCTCATGTAATCACTGAAAAACTGTAGCACATAAGCAAGCTCTAATAAAAATGCTTATGTTTTTAATGACTATCTTTAGAAGTTATTGCTTTCGTGAAGTGTGTAGCTCATTTTTAGCTTCCCTTTAGAGGATTTAATGAAGATAGAGACAGTCTTGTATATTCAAACAACACATTATAGAGACATTTTACTTGCTATTAACTCCAGTCATTTCAAGGGTACTGCCATTTTATCTCATATAAATATAAATATAAATATAAATATAAATATAAATATAAATATATATAATATATATATATAAATAAAAATATTTACTTTAGTGGGCAAGGATAGACAAATATATTTTTTGTGGTTATTCACTGTTGGGTTTTTTTACCCATCATACTTTGAAGTGGGAAATGACAACAGCATTTGGTAAAATCTCAGCTCAGTTGCTGAGGTTGTGGCTATTGTAGCTGGAGATCAGTTTTAGTCAGTACACTTGGGGTATGGACCAGTTGGGAGTGTCCAGAGTGGGGAGGAGAGGATGATCTAAAGTCTGAAGAACACGGCTTGTGGGGAAAGAGTAGCAATAATAATTTCTCATTGTGCATGTGAACAGAGAGTGAAGTAAAAGATGAAATAGAAGCAAGGGAAATTTTATATAAGGAAAGAAAGGACTATCAATACATTAGAAGAAATAGTGGAGGACATCTGGAGAGTGGGAAAAACTTTAAGTGACAATGGGGGAGATTCATTTTAGTCTTATTTTCTGTCATTCTGTAGGTTAGAGAGAATCTGTTCCTGGATTTTTTTTCCATATTTACATGGGAGAGAACAAGGTAGAACACATTTTGTGGGGTAATTGCTCCTTCTTCTCACAGGCAGCTTTGAGAGAAGGTGCCCTTATGACTAATTTGTTCTGTGGAAGCTGGTAGTGTCTGGTGAGGAGGTCCCTAGCACTCAGGTCTAACTAAATAATGGTAAAGTAGCCAAAAGAGAAATGGAAACATAGAAACATAGAATCAACCGGGTTGGAAAGGATCTCTGAGATCCTCAAGTCCAACCTTTGATCCACTAGCACCACAGTTACTAGACTATGGCACTAAAAACCTCCAGGGGTGGAGAATCCACCACCTCTCTGGGTAGCCCATTCCAATGCCTGATTACCCTCTCTGTAAAGAATTTTGTCCTAATATCCAAAATAAACCTCCCCTGGCAGAGCTTAAGCCCATGCCCTCTTGTCTTACTGATAGCTGCCTGGGAGAAGAGACCAACCCCCAACCGGCTACAACCTCCTTTCAGGTGGTTGTAGAGAGTAGGTTTAAGTGGAGAGCTTGGTGCTTCGTGACCATCATTACCTTCTGCTTGCCTACTGGTGCTGTGCCTTAATGTGCTGCAGAGAAGGTGGGGTACATGGATGTTACTAGCTGTGAGAGCAGGCAGGTTCGATGTTTTATGGTACGATAAACTCATAGCAATTGTGCTTCAAATCTTGCAAGGTATTCTGAAGTGCAGTTATTTTGTTTACTTTTACTAGGTTATATATTGACCCATTTCTGTGACATGTATGTAAGTCTGTAAAAAACCAAAACAGTAATTACAAATTTTGAAATTACAAGACTTTTCTAATATTTTTTTTAAATGTATTTCCAAATAAATAAAACCTCTTTGTTTCTTTCCAATTTTGTTTCTTCTCAATAACAGAGATCTGAATATAATAGCTGTTTCATGGATTAATTTTTTTGACTGAGAAAATAACAAATGCTCGTTTATTGACATAAAGTTACATTTTGAAAAAGTAATAAATCTTTAATAATTTTTATTAGCTAATTGATACCTGTTCAATTCATTCACATACTACTGCAGTATTTGAGTTATCTTTAATATTAAAATACTTTATTAATTTCTTCAACAGTTAAAAACCTGGGGTTTGAGAACATTGTAAGAAATATCCTTCCAGAAATCTGTTGACACTCTAAAAGCATCTTTTATATAAGATAGTAAAATGGTAATTGAATCTAATAACTAGGAGAACAATGGCATTTTGCTAACTTTTTAAAAATTATAAATGAATGAGATAATATAATAGGATTAAAAATACAGGGTTATGACATGAATGTGTGCTTTGTTCATTTATTTGACAAGTGGTTTTGTTCTAATTATGTAACTTCCAAATATATCAGTGAAAGCATTAGTGAAATTAGATTTCATTACAGTTCCCAGCTATTGAGTAGTTAAACTGAAGAAAACTCACTTTCTTTAGGTCCAAATATGGCATTGCATAATGTGAATGGATGAGGAGTTCTGTGACAATTCTGTAGCAGTCCTTGAAACAATATGATCATTTTGATTTGACTGAATTGATATTTTTTTACATCTTTTTGTGGTTTGTTTACCAGAAAAATCATTAAACTGAATTGGTTGGCTAGTGTCTTCATAGTATTTATTGATCTTTTTTATTTAATTATGTTGTTTGAAGCTTTCAGGCAATTTCTCAGTGGATGCTTGTTGTCGTCTTGGATGTTTTTGTTACCTGCGACTTTGAGCACTGATGGGGATATTGGCTCTTTCATTAGGAAGTTGTCATTTGATGACTTTATTGTTGACAAAATTATTTTTTAGTAGCTTTTTGATGCAAAGGTAAGAGCTGTTTTCTCCCCTCTGAGAACAGGATAGCATGTTGTATGTATAGTGGTTTTTCCAGTACAATAAAACATAATGAAACTCCACTATTCTGATGACTCAGAGAGTATGGGAACTGTTTGGTTTCACAGCAAAGAAAAAGAGATTGAATACTGATACATGTGCTATTCCTTTCTCACTGTAATCTAACTCTTGCAATATTTGTTCAGCTAGGATTGTGTGTTAGCAGAGCTTCAGCATCTGTCCTCAATCTCAACTGCTGCCTGGTCCTTCTACCAATGTGCCGCGTTATCTTGGCCTTCCTGCGGGGATCTCAGAAGGTAAGTACTGTCCTCAGAATGCTGCAGTTGAGAAGAGGGCCCTGATCTCCGTTTAGTTGAAAGGTAGTAGAAAAAGAATCTGTTATATCCCTGGTTATTATACAGTATGTGCTTGCATAGTGCAAGTATCAGAAATCCATGACTCCTTTGAAGGCAATGCCATGGCTGACACTGTCTGGTTTGATTTGGCCTGTTGTGAGGATGGTTTCTTCAGTGCATTTTTGAAGGATGGAGAGCTGCTGTTGAACTCTATCCAGATGAACTGTAGCCACTCTGCTTTTCTGAACTGTTATATTAGAGGCATCTGTGTCCTCTCTACTGCTTCCTGGTGGAATTCAACAGAGTAAAACTTTGTCTCTGCATGACCATAAGTGTCCTACTGGAGATGATAGAACTTTAAATAAAAATACCCCACCTGATACCTTCATTATCATGGGAAATTAAAGAAAAAACTTCTGTGAAATCTAAGAGGGTTTGTTTTCTGAACCACTATTCAGTAAACAATAGTTTAGCTTCTTTGTGATTCACAGGTTGCTTTTACGTAAATGTAAGTAATGCTTTTGAGGAACATTTTCTGGATAGTTGCAAATTGAACCTGTGACCTCTGTTCATCATGTGACAATACCTATAAAATTTTATGCCTACAGATGCATATGTGTATGCAAATATACCAATCCTTTTGAACTTCTTTAATAAAGAGTCAGTGATGCTACACAATTAGTGGAATTCCTAAATTTTAAGGCCAGAAGGTACATTATGTGCTCTTGACATCTATGTAATAGATCTGAGTGTAATTTCTTCATTAAATCCTCAAAATTATCTCTTTGTCATAATCCAGTAGTTTTTAAATTTAGGTACTATGCTTGTAAGGGTGCAAAAGCTGAAGTTGCTATTATATGGCAGCAGTTGCTGTTAGTATTCTTTTTCTTTGCTTTGTTTTAGAAGAGATTGCTTGAATTCTTCTCTTACTAGGTTGCCAGCAAGAAAACCAGAAGGCTGCTAGACAAAAGTAAAACTTTCCATGTGACATGTGGTGTTACAATATGCATCTTTTCAGGTGAGATCTTTCTGTGCTGAGCAGCAGCGTGATTGGGAAGCACGTTGAAGCAGTATTTTGTGGCTTTTCTTCTACAGTACTTTTGGGGATAGTCTTGCTCTGTGCTTGCCTGTCTTAAATTATACATGCTTTCTCGGATGTGTGAGGGTTTTGGTTCATTTTTGCTTTAAACACATGGGCATACATTCTAATGCTGAGCCTTTCCTTAAAATTCCAATTTCTAGAAGGATAGGTATATGAGATCAGATCAAAATCTACCATTACAAGTGACTCTTTGTGCCCAAAGGATTAGGCTGAAGAAGTAGAGTACTACAGGCTTAACTGCAGGGAAGGGAACAGTGGAGACAACTACCCAATTTGGTGAAGAAGAAATATTCTTGACTGGACACCTTTGAATATTGTCTCTCAGCTGAAGCATTGTAGCATGGAAATCATTACTATAGAGTTTAAAAGAACCCTTAAAATACATACAGCTTTCTATCATGAATATTTATAAACTGATTTAGAAAAATAATCCCTTAGTCCCTGATGTACCTCATGCAGGTAATGTGATTACAGCTTGGCATCTGGGTGGCCACTTCAGGGGAACATCCATACCTTGTTTACAGACCTCACCTTTACTCAGTTTTTTTTCCTTAGTCTTACATGTTGCTGCTCATCTGGTGAATGCTCTTAACTTCTCTGAGAACTACAATGAAGAATTTCTGGCCATAAATGCAGCAAACTATCGTGGTGAGGTGAGCCAGCTGTCCTTTCATATTTTGCTTTTAAGCATATAATTTAAATATGTGATTATTTTCATATTCAGTTCCATTGTATGATCCATCCTATGATCTATATAGTGCTGCGGTTTGGTGCACTGAAAACTTGCATCATGTGGATTGCTCTGGATTTTACTTCTTTCTCTGAACAAAGCACTTTTTGTTTAAGGCAGCATGGTTCATTCCTATTTGATTATGAGATGAAGAATGCAGTCATCAAGTTCTTTCACCTTACACCTTGTTCTCCTGCTTCTTTTCTGCTTCTGTCTGTTCCTTGAGTGGGCCAGGTTGAGACATTTCTACTGCTTTTTGGCAAAATGCATTCCTCATTTCCACTATTTAGAATGCAGTGAGGTTTGAAACAGATTTTGCATTTTTGAGCTGCAGTGAGTACATATGCTAAGAGTGGAATTAGTTATCTGCAGGAACTGGGCTGGAAGCTGATTTCTAGTTGCAAAATACTTGATTTGTTTATGTTCTTCGACTTTGCTGCATATCTCTTGCAGCCATATCAGATTCCTAATCCCTTGTCCAGGTGCTTGCTTCTGTATTTGGCACTGGAAAGATACTTGCAGATTTAAGAAGGGAGACCAGAGTCCAAAACTCTTTCTTCTTTGGGCTACAATCAAGTTCCCTCTTGTTTATATTCATTCTAGTCTCAAGTCTGCATTTCTTTTCTACCAGCTTCATTAGGAAATATTTGCAATGACCCTATCCCAGCTGCATCCTTTCCCAGAAAAAGAGAGCTTGACTCAGCCCAGGCTCATAAGGACCAACAACCAAGGTCTTGCACTCCCAGGGTGAATGATCTAATCATGGAGCTATTCTATGGCAGACAGACATGCCAACACCAACTATTGTGCTGAGCTTCTGGGTTGAATTGAGTGTCTGCTTGTGTTAGGAGTGGTCTGATAGGCTTAGGAACATTTACAGGAGCCTGCCTCAGGCAAGAACATGCCAGAGTGTGCATGGCAGCCTCTACTAAGCAGTCTTAGGAATTTTGCAATAGAAAATGGAGATAATAAGTTTTTAGGAACTTTAGGAGCAAACTTTTTGGATTTTAGGTACTTTAGTAGCTTTTGAACCTTTGTACTTGAATTCCACTTAAACCCATTTTTTAACTATGGTGGGCAGTCTGGATGCTACTGTCATGTTCTCTACATGTGTATGCACATCTGGATACATACAAGGTCAGAGAGAGGGATACTTCATTTTTCCTGACGTGTATGAAAACTGATAACCTGCCCTCACTGCATTTTACTGCAAGTTTAATAATAATAACAATAACAATAATAAAGTTTTCCCCACAGTGAAGACAAAACCTCTAAAATATGGGGCTCAGGGGGAGTGAGGCAGTTTCCTGTGAGGCTGACATATCCCCTCTTCCTTTCACATGTTATGAGGGACACAGGAACATCTGTCAGATCCTTTGTGTTTGGTCTTGCTTCACTAGAGTCCCTTGCAAATCTCTTGGTGATGTAGCTGGCAGTAAAATGCTTGCCTCTTGTCTTACATTTAAATTCAAATTCTCTCCCTCTTCTACTTCCATTTGTCCTCCCAAAGGGATGAGGTAATTGAGTAAAGCTTTAAAAATAATTGTCTGCAAGATTATCTGAATCCCAGTTTTTCATAACAGGTCAGAATTGTCTTCACTGGCAAAATGCAAAGGCTAAAGGTTTAGTTTATGTTGAATTACAGTCAATGTAAACTGTTACCAAATTCGTTCCTGCATTCAGGTTTAGGGATTGCTTATGTCTTAATGAACATGAGCTTTATGAACTGCTTATTATTAACATGGTATTAATATAGATATAAAATCCCATATGTTGATTTTATTTTTTTTTCTGCTTGTCTGTGTTTCAGGACCCAAGGAAACTACTTTTTGCAACTGGTAAGTCTGTTGCAAAACTGAATGAGAAAGTTTGCTGCTTCTCATCATTAATCTTCAGACAAAACTTTTTGATTCTCTGTTCACATACTCCATCTCATCTAGCTGTATCTCATCTAGCTTGATTTATTTGTGTTAATATAACCTGGGTTTGCTTATCCTATAGTCAGGAGGGAGGAGTTACATAAGCCCCGTAGTAGCTTGAGCATCATCTTCAAAGCTGTTGTACAGATGAGTCAGCAGAAAATAATTAGTTTCAAACAGAGATTCTGCATAATATTAAAACCAAATTCCTAAATGATCCAATTTCTAGGAAAAAAACACATAACAGTAGAGTGGTCTTCTTGCTTCAGCTGGTTGGTTTGGCTTCAGAGCAATCTAAACTGTTACATGGGAATCAGGCTTCAGCACTCATAAAGAATAAATAGACAAGACATTTTTGGTGCAGGAATTTAGAAGGTAGCAATGTTTGGGTATGGAGGGGCAAACACCAGCCTGAACTCTAGTAGTTCCACAAGCAGATAAAGATCCTTCCTGATGCCATCACACTTTCACCCTTATTTAGATCAAACACAAAAATCCCAACTTTGTAGCATTTAGGGCACAGTCCAAAGGAATCTGAATGGACAGCAATGGATGGGGTTCTAGATTTGTCAACAGATTTGTCAGCAGATGTACTAGAATTAGCAGCTTGCACAACAGTGCTTTCCAAAAACCCTAGATCAGTTTACATCAGTTGAGAGCTGAGGAAGCGATAGAGTGAAATAATAGAACTTGAGGTATAAGTGGAAGCAGGTTGGGTAAAGTGTGTAATCAGTGAATCAGTTGTGGAGGGTTGAATGAGGGTAACTGGCAGGAGGGTGTTAAAGATGGGAGGGGTGAGAAACAAACCAAGCAATTGAGGATTATATTTAATATCACGTATAAGGGAGAAGGACTCGCTATAAAGAAGCAGTGAGAGGCCTGATCATATTTTTGTCCTGGCTTGTGGTGATACTTTGAGACCTCTCCAGTTGAGAGGTGGAACTCCTTTTACTCTCTCTCAGCAAGAAAGTAGTGGATTTTCAAAAATTTGAACACATTGCAAAAAGCAGTGATTCTAAATCATCTTTAAGTTTAAAATTACTCAGATCACTCCACATCCTAACAACTAGTAATTATCACCTATTATTTGCGCTGAAGGATTACCCCAGACAGGGACCAGCAAGATTTTGTTAAATGGTACATCTGCAAATATGGAAGAAAACCCTGGTTTCTTCCCAGAAAGTTCAGAACAGCAAATAGAAGGAATAAGGAATCAGAAGCATTTATACTGTGGTGACTTTTCAGATCAGTTTAGGAAATAACCTCCTCGTATAAGGGTGTGAGGCAAGCTGGGAGGAACAAGTATTCAAGAATATAGTTAGTGAAGGAAAAGAAATATGGGCAGAGAGGAAACACTGAAAATGCCCTGATAAACTTGGGCAGGATTGTGAGTGATTTCAGTTTGATGGAGAAGAGAATTAAAAACTCAGTGTAAAAGGTGACCTGTAGTTTAAGTGACAGTGGAGAAAGCTGGATCAAGTGCTGTACTGCAATTGCATTGGAAGTATTAGTGTAAGAGGGAGATTCATTGCATGCTACACATCAAATTAGGTTAAGAAAGAAGAAATGAAGAAGGAGGCAGTGGACAAGAATATATATATTTTTTTATTGCAACTGCTTTTAGTTGTAATTTTTCTGTGAAGGAGTGAAATTAAGTTTTTTATGCAGTCCATGATGAAACTTCCATTGGTTGTAGGGATGGGATTTTACCTAAAGTTTGTAAAATTGAGGAGTGATTTGGGATGTATCAGGCATTTCAATGTGTGGATATTGAGAAGTTGATAAAAAGATAAGATTTGAGGTTGTCTCTTTATTGCTAAAGAGTCTAAAATCGCAATCAATTATTAAAAAAATAAGCTTACTCTTGTCATTAGGATGTGATTCCGTAGAAGATCATGGAGCATTACAGTATGTGGTATTGCCATTTACATCCATGAGAGCTGGTTGAGACATTTGTATTTTGACACTAAGTCAGCATTTACATAGATTTGTGCTTGGTGATTGACCTGACTGACTTTGTTTAAACCCAGACATGTGGCTTTTAAGGTGACCAGAAACTATGCAGAAATACTACCATTCTTTGAGGATTAAAAGGTACTGATGTACCATTTCATAGACTTTAGGATCCTAATTCTTAATTCATATTCTTAATTCCTGGGATGGCAATTTTGAAGATAAGATGCTCAGAAAAATGGTAACTGTTATTTTCCTAATCTGTCTTTAGGCAGGTGATTTACTGTATGTTATGGGCAGGATTCTGCTTTAGGATGGGATCATAGAATATGCTGAATTGGAAGGCACCCATGAGGATCATTGAGTCCAACTCTTGAGCCTGTGTAGGACACCTCAAGAATCACACCATGTGCCTGAGAGCTTTGTCCAACATACCATGCAGTAGAAATAGTTGTTTCTCTCCTTTGACTTAAAAGAGCTGTGGATAAACTAATCCTGATAAGAGTCTGCATTTGAACAAATGAGTCCAGTTGTTAATATTTTTAACCTTTCCTTGTCAAATACTGGCTGCAGATCACTCTCACAGACCTTGCTCTATGGTCAACAATTTCAAGCATTATACAGGTCCATGGAGATTAATTTTGGGCTCTTCCTCATGCCAGAATGAAATAGGTTGGCAAACAATTGTAGTGGCAGCTTGCATAAAAACTGATTAGCTTGAAAATCTCTCCCTGACCAGATTTTTAATTGTCATGATCAACAGAGTTTGGGATTTGGAGTAAGAAAGAGATAAAGAAATTTGTACAGTTAGTCTTACAAATAAACAGTATTTGTTCTTAGTTACCTGCTTAGAGACAGATGTCATGAGCAAAAGATTGCAGCAGCAAAGACTAATACAAAACGAGTGATGCATGGTGAAATACAAAGGAAAGGGTAGTTTTTTCTGAGAAGGTGGGAAATTACACAACAACTTTTCTTTCTTATCTGATTTGATACATGAATTGTCCTCAAGAGATAAGTACGTGAAAGAGTTTGATTAAATTATGATTTTATGTCTAATTCCACTTTTTTAATAAATCATAGTAGACAAGTATACCTTTTCACCATTCAAATGTAAGTTCTTATGTCCCTTTTAGTTCCAGGTCTGACTGGAGTCATTATGGTATTAGTATTATTCCTAATGTGTACGGCTTCCACGTTTGCCATCAGGTAAGATGTAATCTGATCATTATGCTGAAAAATGCCATTTCAGTAATCATACTCTCCTACTGATTAGAGTGTTAAAAATACCAATTTTCTTGCCCTATTTTCCCCTAGCTTGCAGTAAAATTAGCACAGTGAATTTCACATTAAAACAATTAGAAAACTTGATTGAATTGCCTTCTGAGAAAAATACTATTTGATGAATGTGCTCAGTTGAAAACGTGGACCTTTTAAAAATTCAGATAGTACCATTTCAATTTTTTTTTCTGTTTGTAAACTAAGCATATAGAAAGTTCTGTCCAATACATAAATTAAGTTCTCTGGAAGTAAAATAAGATGATATCTTAGTTAATTGTAACAACAAACTATAAGAAAAACAGTAACAAGAAATCCCCCCTCCCCCCACAGTGAAACAAACTGACACAAAATTATGCTTCTTAAGTAGAATGTTGCTTTTTAAATTTCTGCTTCTGGTTGTTAGATATATTCTATTTAGTGTGAATTACATTCCAAACAGCAATGCAGTGTTGGCTCAGAGCAGCTGATGGGATTTCTAAAGGTTTAGTCCTCCAATGGGTTCACATTGTGTACCAACATTATTGAACACATGATAGGAACTGTGAGTGATTGGTACCTTGGAGGATTTAGAACAATGTTGTAGTCTGTTTAAGGCTTGAATTCTGCCAGTGAACATATAAAAATAACCCCTTCATTTTTATAGTGGTTGAATTCAAAGACTGCTCATGTAAATGCATCATCTTAATTCAACCAACATGGTAGGATATATTAATTATGTATCTTCAAACATTAATGGTGCTGCATTGATGTGAGTTAGATATGTGGCTTTGAACATTGTTGAATTAATCTGTCTTTCCTGAGTAGAAATGTTATCGGCAATGTTATCCTGTGGTTTGGGATAGTAGTTCAGCAAATACTTGTGCATTTTCAGTAGATAAGGCTACTTCCAGGGTTGAGATGTTTGTGAGGCATTGCAGGCTACAGAAGTGCAAGATTAGGCTTCTGCACAAGATGTCAGGATGGCTGCACACTACATAGTCCATACAGATGGCTCTGCTTGCAAAAGAAAGGCAGTTTTGGGAAGATGGAAAAATAGCGCAATTACTTCACTCTGCAGCAATGAGCCAGAACAAAGTCCTGTTTTCTTTAAGGCCATAACAAATTAGAAAAAAAAGAGAGAATATGATGTATTAATAATTGGGAAACTTAGAAAAATATAGGTGGTTGTAAACATATTCTTGGAAATAATTTTGCAACAGCTTTTGAAGTTACATGCTTTTTATTTCCTTCCACAGTTACTGTAAGTGCAAATGCATTCCCAGCTCTCTTCTGTCTAGCCAGCAGAATCAAAACCGTGAAGAGATCATCTGCATCTCCTGTTCCTTTAGCAATAATTCTTATTTATTCCTGCTTCTCTCTCAAGCATAGAGCTCAGGCTTGTCTTGACAGTGTGTTTTCCTAAGGAAACAAGCTTCTGAGTGCATCTCACTGTGTCTTTTTAATCTCTTTCCCTGTGTATTCTCATTTACCCTATGGTGGCTGAGCATACTGTATAGTCTTAGGAAAATTATTTGTAGATATTCACTGCCTATCAGAAACTGTGCTTTTTAAAAAGTATTTCAGAGACTATTATGCTCTTGGATTCCAGCCCTAATCTGCTCTTGCACACTGACCTGCTTAATAATTTCTTCCTTTGTATATTCCTCCTGAAATTTTTATATGCATGATTATCCCTCTTTTTTCCTGCCTTTACCTGTTTAGTAAACTGCGTGAATAAGTATTGGGATTGAAATAGCTGCTAATGTTTTAAAAGGGGGAAGTGAGCATTGATTGAAAAATTTTCTACATTTTGACCTTGTCATACGTAAGAATTAGAGCAATATTTTTGGTTCAGTAGTTGTTTCTCAGAAGGGTTATGAAGTTATCAGAAAACACAATAAATCCTGTCAATAAATTTTGACAGTTTTGATAACTTTCAAATTAATGTTGTTCATGATTTGGAAGTCCTGTATTTAAAGGAAATTAAAAAATAAGGTGCTCCAGTGCCATCTATTTTTGTAACCAAATATTCTAATCTTCAGTTTAATCTTCCAAAGTACCACATAAATCTTCCTTTTCAAAACTATCTGTAACAGGGTTAAAAATATTTTTCCAAAACTGTGCTACTTACTGTGTCCCCTTAAAGCATGCCAGAACTCCCTGTACATTTCTCAGTGAGTTAACTCTTGCAGGTCTTCACCTGCAAAATTCTAAAGTAGGTTAACTGAAAGTAAAACTAAATATTTAACTTACCTCAAATTTTCAGTACTTTACAGTCCTAAGAAATGTGTTAATTCTGTCAATAGTGTCTATTTTAAACCCTAGAAGGTGAAAGAAAGTAATAAATGTTTTGAAGAACTATAAAAATATATGTGTATTAATAGAAAGATTATTGAATATATTAGAATACTGCATGTATCTGTAGGATACACAGTTTAAAGATACAAGAAATGCATAATTATCATAATGTTGGAAAATATGTTTCATGGTAAGAGGTTCAAGGATTTACATCCCCTTAATTTAAGGAGTGAAGTTCAGAGGACTTATTTACATTTAGGGGAATTTTATACATGTGAGGAGCAGGATTTTATAGTACAGTTATCTGTAGCAGTGCTGAAAGAAGAATAAAATGCTTAACTGGGTAGAAGCTGACATTTAGATGTATTCAAGACATGCACAAGAAGTGTATGGTAACTTTAATCAGTAGCAATCATTAGCTGTTGAAAGCAGTACATCAGAAGCAGTCCAGGAACTGACTTTTTGAAAAATTGGTGTGTTCTGAAAAAGGTGCTCAAGATGTAATAAAAATTAATTCAGTGTCTAGCTTTTGGTATTATAGCAAAATGTGAATTTAAACCAGAGCTTCAAGACCCATCCTTGCCCCTGCCCATAGCATGGGGCAAGGAACTAGGTGATCTTTAAGGTCCCTTCTAACCCAAGTCATTCTAGGTTTCTATGACCTGTTTCAGGACTGAGGGTAAATTTTACTATTTGTGCCTTCCAGTTGTGTTTCCGCTCCCTATACCATCATTTATTTTCCTCTTACTGATGTTTACTCCCTTAACTTCTTACAGATATTATGAGTGACTGCATGGATATGCCTACCAGGGTGTGAAGAGTTAGAAATGGTTTGAGCAGCTTCAAGGAGGAAAAAGTGTTTACATGGTGCTGACTGGGGGAAGGATGGCAGGGTAGAAGGGAGATTTCAGAGCCCCTTGCTGTTACTGGGTGCCTTACTTTGCTTCCTTTGTTCCTTCCTTGTTCCTTCACTTGCTTGGATTTTATTTTGATAACCCTCAGATTGCCAATTATTTTTTTTTCTTGAAAAAGAAAACAAATAAGTCCTGTATGCACAGACACAAATGCAGTATATGTGTCAATTGTATTGAAGTGAAACTGGTTATATAGAAGACCATAAGAGGGGAAAAAATTCTGAAAAAAAAATAATTTAGCTGTTCCAAAGGAATAGCTTTTCAAACCATGTTCTCAGAGTTCAGGTTGTTTTTTATTTAATAATTGGTTTGGCTTATGAATGGGAGCAGGTTTTGGTTTTGGAAGGATTTCCTCTACCATGCTGTGTAGTGTGAAAGGTGTGTTTGTGTGCTGTGAAGTAGTGTATTTTGTTAACCATTTGGTTGTTGTTGTTTTTTGGTAACTATTTTTCTCAAGCAAAAATCAAACAAGCTTAACAGAAAACAGTTCCAGATGAGTATTTTCTTTGGTCTTTGTTCTTTTCACTTTGCCTAACATATTACTGATAAAAGGAAGTGCTCTTTTCTCTTCACCTCTCTTGCTCTCACAGTGGCAACGTTCTTCTTGTTTCTCCCAAGACCACCAGTCCTAAGCTGTACTGTATGTGGCCTCCTGTCCTGAAAGTTCTCCTACCTGTGTTTTTGTTGCCTTCTTGTTCTAGTTCCTGTTCCTCCTGTATCTCCTTACACTCTATGCCCTCACAAGTTTTTTACCCTTCTCACTAGCCCTTCTGCTGCTGTCTGTGCTACCTGTGCTGTAGGCCTTAGTGAAACATTAAATTGTATTGGGGTAGGCAGAATGCAAGGTGATGCTCACTGGGAAGGGGTTGAGTTTTGAGACTGCAGATAGAGGAACTATTCTAGCTCTGAGGGTCTCATAGATACAAACTAGGACCTGTGAAAGTAGTGAAGTCTCCTAATTTCAGAAGAGTTCTTCAGCTGTCTCTGCGCTTCTACATCCCTATCTCCTTGTCAGCTTGTTACTTCTGGGCCAGTCACTTAACACTTAATTGCGTGCAAGTACAATGTGCCTGTAGGAAAACATGCTGGGCTTTGACTCTTCTACATGACTATGTAGTGTATAATGATGTCCTGTGTACACAGGTCTGTTTTTAATTAGCAGTGATTCCATCTAAGTTGAAACAGCATTGAACCATGGTTTATTCTTTTCAGGGTTTCAAACTATGACATCTTCTGGTATACACACAACCTTTTCTTTGTCTTCTATATGCTGCTGATGCTGCATGTTTCTGGGTAAGTAAATGGAAAACACTGTCCCTTTTCCTGAAGCACAACCAGAAAGAGCAGTTTTATTGATTGCTGCCTTTCCCAAGCTTGTTTGTGCACAGTGGGCCAACTTTGGGCCAACTTTGCTGTCCTCTATGGTTTTTCAACAGGCATTCGTTTAAATAAGGATCACACTGTAGCTTGAAGAATTGTATGTGCTACAACCAACTAGCACAAACTTCTTCACTTTCAATATTATTCCTTTTTACCAGTCCATTTTACCAGTGTCTAGCGAGAAATCAAGAGAACATAGTTTCTTTCTCTGCCTCTTCTTACCTTTTAACTGAGACAAGAAACTGAAGTGGCTCATCCCTTTCATTTTCCTCTCTACCTTCCATTTTGATTCCTAAGGAATGGCTTCTCCCAAATTACCTCTTTCTCATTGCTGTGATACAACATTTGCTATTTTTTTCTTGTTTTCACAAACATCAGACCAGTGTTTACGTGCTGATGGTCAAGACTGTATCAGGCACAAACAAACCCATCTCTATTATGAGGTAAAGCAGCTTCCACAAGTTACGATATATGTCTGCATGGGTTGGGGATTGAACTAGATGACCCTTAGAGGTCCTTTCCAACCCTAACTATTTTATGATTCTATGAAAATCTGGACCATTAATATCTGTGAAATTTCCTCTGTGGATGTAGATGCAGAGATTGGTATAAAGAAGGGAAGGTGTATTTGAATGAGGTGCATTTCTCCATGTCATCAAATATCTACTGAAACACAGGGTGCTTTAATGTGTGACACTGAGCACCACTGCTTAAAGTAAACATGGAAAGATCTAGCAAGATCACAGGAGGAATATGTTGTTGAACCGAAACATGCAGCCTGAGATCTGGTGAATTGAAATAATGAGTTCAAAATAATTGAAACTCCTGGATGCAATTCCAGTACTCTGTGAGTTTGGGTGTTTTTTTTTCTTTTTCTGCTTGTGTTTGTTTTTTGTTGGTTTTTGTTGTTGTTGGTTTTGGTTTTGTTTTTACATGGGTTTTGTTTGTTTTTCTTTTTTGTATGTGTGTGTTTCTGTTTGTTTGCAGGGGTTTCTGTTTCTTTATTCTGGGGCATAACTCTCTTCATTGCAGGGGGAAGATGGATATAATGTGTTCTCCTCATCCTGGGGCAGAATGGACTTTTTCTAAATTATTCTTGACAGGTGTTTTTCTAACTTCTTTAGAACTTCTGGTGACTGAGATACTCTAATCTCCCTAGGCAATCTGTTCCAGTTATTGCCTTTGGGGTATTTTTCATGTCCAGTTTAATTAATCTCTTTCACTGCATTATCCTTTGCCCATTGTATTCCTAACCATGTTCCATTTACCAGGTTTGCAAACCAAGGCTGCAGTAATACACCAAGCATTGAACAGACATCTTCTGGTACACAGCCTCCTTAGTATTGAATTACAGAGGCAGTCAGTGCAAATCTAAAAGAACTGAGTGTCAGTTAAAAATTGGAGGTGAATGAGTCATGGAGAGTGGGAGTCCGTTCAAGTTTAAGATGCCTAAATGTAGGTCTCTCCATGTTTTCTAAGTGTCTTTCTCCCATTATGGTTTAATGAGTTCTGATAATACAGTCAATGGAACCCGAAGGATACTTCAACAAACTTGCTGTTACAAATATGTGTATTCAGGTGACCTAGATTGATTTCTAGACTCCATTAGTGATAGTGGTAAGATCAAGAGAAAGTGGCCACAAGTTGTATGAGGAGTGATTTGGATTGCATATTAGGAATACTTTCTTCACCAAAAGAAAATGCTTTAGAACAGGCTGCCCAGGGAAGTAGTGGAGTCACCAGCCCTGGAGGTATATGAAAGACTTTTGGATGTGGTGCTTAGGAACATGGTTTAATGATGAACACAGCAGTGGTGGGTTAATGGTTGGACTCAATGATCTTAAAGGTCTTTTCCAACCTGAATAATTTGATGATCTCTTCTAAGAATGAAGGAAGCTTAGATATCTGCACCCAAATTACTCCTGTGTGGCATGAGCTGAGGACTCATGGCCAGTTATTTTACAGAACAAGGCATCTTCTGTGGCTGAACTGTGTAGACAGTTTGAGTGAGGTTTTGCCTGTCTTAGGAGTGAAGTATTTTCACAATAGTTCTGGATTCTTGTTTTGTTTCAAATTGTTGTGGATACTTCTTGCGACATGACTTTGAAAGGTTTTAGTGACTTAAGACTTGGTGCATATCTACATTCATTTATCTATCTTTTAGGTCAGTAGTAGCAGCAACAAAAATTAATTTATGTAAAGCAGAAGCTTGATGTTTCTAGTACCAGTGTAAGGAACTATAAAACATACAAAACCTTTGGAGCCAGATTCCCATCTGATCCAAATTTGGTGTTACTGTGGTATTACTGTGGTCCACAGAAGCTGAGAATAAGGCCTTTATGCTCTCACTAGAGTTATTCAAAGATTTTTCTTCCAAAGGGTGAAAATTCTTACGAGTCCCCCCGCACATTGACCTTTAACAGACCCTTCAAGTAACTTACCTTGAGCTGAGCAGCAGATGGATGAGGAGATAGGAGCAGTGCAGTTCCCTATCAAAACACTTAGAATCATTGATATCTAGTTTATAAGCTTTAAAATCTTAAGAAAAAGTGATATGTATTTTCCAGCTCTAGCCAGAAGTGAATTTTGTCTCTATTTTGGGCATGGAAAATTGGAGCAGAGGTTGAGGTATGGCCTTGCAGATTCTCCATACTGTCCTGCTCAGCCTGTAGCACACTTTTACATTACTTTCTCATTTTGTCTCAGATTTCTTTAGCAAACAAAAATGGGTATCTCCTACTTCTTGACATCCATACTGAGTTTTTATATATTCAAGTGTTGTGTCTAATAAATACATGAGGATAATCTTGGGTTTCTTAAGAATTGTGCAGAACTCAAACTTTCTGGGAAGTGATCTTGGGTGTGTAAGACTTGCCTTTCCTTGACAAATTCAGAAATGGGAGTAGTTGCAGCTGCTGTTAACAGGCAGCTTTGTCATCCCTGTTTGCCACTCAGCATGTTTGTAATAGTTTGACCAAACTAGAGATCACTGGAAGGGATGCTCATGTTTGCTGCTATTCATGTCTCAAGGAAATCCTCTTTTGGATGTTCTGAGAACAGAGAAGCTGTGGGAGCTGCTGACAGGCTTGCACACCAGGTTGACTGCAAAAATATTGCACAGGCTTTGACTTCCAACTAAATCCATGAGGCACCATAATATTTATGAAGCAGAGAACTAGCGTAATGCCAGTGCTATCTGTCACTTTGCAAATATGTGATGACCAGCAGTGATGGCAGATGCAAGCGATAGGCATGATCAAGCAGTAAATGCAGGCAGAAGCATCGATGTAGGTGCAAGGACACTTCCAAAATGATTCTCCTGGGGTCAGATGTGGAATTTAGAGTGAGGAGGTTTAACGTCCAAGCCGGCATTGTTCACTGGACCATGTGGGAAGCTTGTTACTGGCTGTCAGGATTGCGTTTTGGTAGGGAAGATTGCCAGTAGCTTGTCAGAGCCCATTTAAGTTGGGAATATTGCAGATGTCTTAGTTCTCTCTCTTCTTGTGAATTAAATTCTATTGCTACTGCTGCTGTGTGTTGAGGAGAGGAGGAGGGAGTCTATGTCCTTATGTTTGATTGCATACTTAAGATGAGCCTTCACAAGATGGCTTAGTACTCAGTGGGCATGTCTCGCCAGACATTGCCTCAGTATGCCTCATTTCCCACCCAGCACCATCCTGTAGAGGTGTCATTTGGTTGGTGTCTTTTTTTTTTTTTTTATTAATATTCCTGCTTATGGATTTACTATCATCAAATCCAGATTTGGAGGCAAGTAGTACTTCTGAGGAATTTTACTACTACTGTTATCTTTTCTTCCCTGTTTCCAGTGATTCATTCATGTGCTGAGATATCCCAGAGTGTCTCAGGCTTCCAATTATTTCTTCAGAGTTCTAGCTGCAGCTGCAAAATTCTTACTTCATTTTACTATAAATTTAGCTTAGCTTAAAAAAAAACCCCAAAACATCAAACCCACAAAATAGTTTCAAGGAAGGTTCCATGGCTATCACGCAGGACTTCCTTTTTCCCTTTTATCTGACGATTATGTCCAAAGGAGAAAACTATAGGATTGTGTGCAAACCTCATAAACACCAAGTAGTAGGAACATTCCTGCAGTTTATGATTTGGCAATGTAGACCACTTCTGCTATAAGACTGCCTTAAAAACAAGGCTTGCTGGCTGTAGGGAGGATGAGTGAAAAAGCCAGCCAGCGTGAGATTGAACTGGAAATGTGATTACTTATTTTTTTGCAAAGTTCCCACAATGTTTTCCCCCTTTTAAGCAGTGTTAAGCTTGAGGCTGTTCAGTGTGGGAGTGCCAAGTGCACTGGAAAAGTTAAACTTTGCCTTTAGTGACAGGAGGCTCTATTGTTGCAAATCTTCAATCTCATTGAAAGTCCTGCAAACAAATGGAATAAAAATTCTAACAGAAGATGAGGCCTCTCTGAATTAAGATAAGCTGTTTGTTTCTTACTTCAGTGTCTTTACTATTCTTTTTTTCCCATAGGGGAGTGCTCAAGTACCAGACCAACTTACAGGAACACCCTCCTGGTTGCTTTAATCCTAACAAAACGTCCCGACAGAATCTGACTGAGCCAAAGGCTTTTGAAGAGCTGTTTCCTGACTATACTACTGAGCCTTTCCCAGAGGACTTACCAGTATCAGAACCCTTTGTACAAAATCACTTTATGAGAATTTGTTCCGAGGAACCCAAGTTCCAGTCACACTTCCCAGAGGTCTGTATGATCCGACATTTCAGGTATTACAAGCCTTGCCAAGTCTTTCAGTCAGGCATAACCACTAATTATTGCTTTTCCAGACCAGATGTTTTAATAATGGAAAATATTATTAAAACCTTTTGAGGCATTCAAAGATTCAGTGGGGAAAAAACAATCTGTATTAAACCCTGAACTGCATTACAATGTGATGCATAGAATAGGGAGGGTGGAAAAATGTCAAGAGATCATTTGTAATGTTATTTTTTCTACAACATGATAAGAGATGTATTGGTCCTGCTATAAAAGGGACTTCAAATTACAGCGTAGCACTTCAGAGCAAACATTTATGATAACATTTCATAAGGTCCCTTTTGTAAGCATTGTGTGACAGTAGTTAGTTGAAATAATCAAGCTCCATTTGTTCTCTTTTTTACCATGCAGATGCAAGCCCTAATACTCATTTCTGGTTTGCAGTTGGTTGCGGTTTGGCTTTTATGGCCTGTTGTTTGCAGACAGGCTTGTTTTATGTGTGGCATGGGTAAATGAGTATGATGACAGCAGGCACAGAAAAGCCTTTTTCTGTTTTTCCATTTTCCTTTTGTTTCTTTATGTTTTGTGGAAGCAGCTTTTTCTTCATCCAAATTTTCTCTTTTCTTCTGAGAAAAGATCAGTTGGGCTGTATTGTAAGTAGCCTGAGGAAGCTTGTGAATATGGAGTTCACAAGTCCAAGGCCTACCATTCATAATGGTCCCTTAACAGACCTCACAGGAGTTTCTCTTTATTATTATCCTTGTTTTCTCTTGAACAGTTATGTCCCTTAGGAGCTGTACTGGAGCATGTAATCATAATAAGAAATAGTTAATTTTACATTGAATTCCTCCAACAAAGTTCTTTGGATTGGTATTTTGTTGTGGTGATACTCCTGAATTACAAGCATCAGTGTATATCTGGCTCCATATGACCCACAGGACAGTAAAGAGTCTTCTTAGGGACTTAAGATGCCTGCTTTAGAGCCATTTATGGGTAAAGAGTCATGGAAGGAGATGGCCACTCAGTGTTCTCCTGGCAGCTTTGTAAAACTATTTAGGACTTTTTTGGGTTCAGAAGTGTTGTGATATCAAGATTAAAAAAAAAAAAAGGTTCTCTGAGCTCTACTAAAACTTTTAAGGCTTTTTTACTAATTGCAATCTGCTAGTTGCAAGAGAGTCTGATACGTAACTTCAAAAATTGGGAAGTAAAGATGGATGAGGATCAAGGGCACTTCAATGCCATAGCTTGAGTGACTGAGCAGATGTAGAATTAATAGTTAAGTCTGCCATAAGCTATTGGTAATTGACTCTTAGGATGAGATTTAGCTGAGCAGCTGCACATGTCTCCATCTGGAGTAGTCACCCAGGGCTCTCTGTATAATCACTGCAGAGAAATGGGCATTTCCAGGACATTTTCTGTCAAGCATACATATCTTCCATGAGGGCAAATGAATTGTGATTCAAAAGTGCCCATTTCTCTCTGTCTATGATTTTACACTAGTTTAATACAAACATAAATTCTATGGAACAAAAATGAATCTTTCTTTGGTTTTTACTTGAACTTGAGATGATTATGAGAAGGTAATAGTCAAGTAATATTGCAAGACAGACTGTGTTTTTCCTTAACGTAAACAATTATACAGAACTCTGGTCTGTTACATTTTGAAACCATGTATGTACTGTGTCTTTGCTGCTGAAACCAGTTGCAATCTAACTACATAAAACCAGAATAACATGGTAGCAATTGAGGTCATTAGCATTTTATTCCTGATGAGTTTTAGGATTGAAATTCCATGTGCTTGTAGATGATGCTTCTGGTTAGACTGATTAAGGCTTCAGAACACACTGGAATTTTTGCATGTAGAGAGATTTGGAGGTTAGATGTGAAATGAGGTCCTGCTAGCACTCATGTAGTTAAAAGTCCTTGAGGTGACCTATTTTTGTTCTCCCATAGACCTGGTTTTGGATTTCTGGACCTCTGTGCTTGTACTGTGTGGAAAGGCTATACCGCTACATCCGCAGCAATAAACCAGTCACGATAACTTCGGTAATAAGCCATCCCTCCAACGTCCTTGAAGTAAGGATGATGAAAGATGACTTTGAAGCAAGGCCTGGTCAGGTGAGTTAATGTGCCCCTAAAAAAACCACTGCTTTCTTGGAGCATTGTCTATAGGGATGACTATCAATTTATAAACACTAGCCCATTACTAAATGTTCTGAAAGGATCTTTTCTGCCATTTTATTTCAGTATGTCATTCTACACTGTCCAAGAGTGTCTGCCCTGGAAAGCCATCCATTCACCCTTACAATGGTAAGAAATACTGCTCTTTCCTATAGTTTCCCTTTTAACTGTATTTGGTAAGCAAATGGTCTTTATTTCTTTCAAGGTGAAGATTCTCTCCAGAAGAGCTTATGTTTCATTTATGAGGGTACCAATGAATGTGAAATGGCATGATTATTATGTATGACAGTACTTGATACATATTTAATTTTCTCCACTGTTGAGAAAGTGATAATGGGAACTTTTTTCAAAGTCTTCTATAAGTGGAAACCAATAATAAACAGATGAATAAAATCTATGTGATGTTGATGATTGTTTCATAAAAGAAGTTTTAACCTTATTTGTAGACCTTAATGAAGAATGAGCACAAATTGTAATGAACTTTGTCATCTTTCCTCTTCAATGAGAAGCTATTTCTGTGAATGCCTTTTCCAAAATTAGAAAAACATCAAGTTTAAAAAACAAGTCTCTAAACTTATTTTCTGTTTTATTTTTGTATTGAGATATATTGATGACTTAGTGATATAACAGTAAAGTCATACAATATTTGGATTATTACTTACTCTGCTCGGTTGGTCTAGAATGAGAACTGGGGCCTCTGGAGATAGACAGGAATAAAATGAAATTGTATATAAATGTACTTGAAGTTCTTCAGGAGTACACACTGCAGAGACCTGGCAGGTGCTGCTAGAAAATCACTGCACTGACTGACTATGTTGTTACAAAAGGAGAGTTTTTAGAACAGAATATTAGTGACAGCCTCTTCCTTCCAAAGGGAATAGAGGCTTTCAGATTTTCTGAATTTGATGTTCTTCTTCAAGAAGACCATTAAGATAAACATTCACATTTGATTCTTTTCTATGGACTGATAACTGATACTTCATCCCCAGTGAGTTATACCTAGTGTTGTGGAACAAGTGGGATGTTTTACTGCTACCCAAAATTCAAGGGGCCCAACCAGGTCCAGTTCTTTTCGTTTGTGGGGTGTTTTATTTTGTTTTGTTAACTTATTTATCTATATACTGACCCAGGAATCACAGGAGAACCCCTACAAAATTTCACCCAGGTTAAATTTTGGGCTGTAAAGCTGGGAATTAATCTCATTTAAGGGAAGGTCCCTCTGTATAGCTTGGTGAAGCATTAACGACACTAGCATTGCCTGAGTTTTTTTCAAAGCTTTAATACTTATGGAATGTGTAGGCAAAAGCTTAACTCAGTTGATTTTCTACTGCCATCTGACCCACCTGTAGTTACTAAGCAAGCTGAAACACTACTGCTGCTTCTTTTGTTGGATAATGATAATCCCTGGGTAATTTTTCTACCTTGATTTAGGAGTAAGAGACTTTGATCCACAGCAAGAACAGCACGAGGGGTGTGTGTGAGGCTTTGGGCACTGGAAGTGCAGTGCAGCAATGACTGTAGCACAGCTGGGGGAAGACTACAGTGTTCTTCCTGGCACTGTTGTCCTGCTTAGAATCATAGAATCCTTTGGGTTGGAAAGGACCTTTAAAGACCACCTAGTCAAAGCCCCTCTGCAGTAAGCAGGAAATTCTTCAACTAGATCAGGTTGCTCAGAGCCCCATTCAACTCAGCCTTGAATGTTTCCATCTACCACTAGGGGCATCTACCACTACCACTTCTCTGGGCAACATTTCTTCCTTATCTGTGGTCTAAATCTCCCCTCTTTTAGTTTAAAACCATTACCCCATGTCCTAATGCAACAGTCTGTGCTAAAAGTCTGTCCCTAGGCCCTATGAGATGTCCTGTTCATGATGATGGAATATTTCACTGTGTCTGGAGAATGTTTGAAAGAAAAAAAGTGACCAGTTCAGACATATCTTTATACTTTTAAGTGAGGACGAGAAGCAAAAGTAGAAATGAAGGGGTGAGTCAGAGTGAAAGATTTGTGCAGATATTTTACTAGTCCCTTCCCTTTTCAAGGTTGTGTAATATTTACAGTTTAGCTCAGTTTCTTACATAGCATTAGGGTGGAGGAACACACAGGGAGACTGTGTAAAGGCCCTGAACCCACTCCGATTGCACTCTGACAAAGCTCCCACATGTTTCACTTTGAGCCAGAGGGAGCTCTTAACTGTGACCAAGAGCACATTAGGAGACTTTATTCTCTTTGCAAGCTCCCTTCAGGTATTTATATCACTGATAAGACACCCTTGAGCATTCCGTTCTCCAGTCTGAACAGTCCCAGGTCTCTCAGCCTATCTTCATAGGAGACATATTCCAGTCCATTCATCATCTTCTTGATTGGACTCTATCCACTATGTCCATGTCTCTTATAGTGAGGAACCCAACACTGGACACAGGTCCAATGCATGGTTTGGAAACCAAACCATGGAAAGCAGAGAAAACCAAAACATGGTTTCACCAGTGCTGAATCAAGAAGAATAACTTCCCTCAACCCTCTGATGGTGTCACTTGTACATTCTGAAGTTCAGACACTTGGAGATCTCAGTTTTCTCTCATAATCATTGTGAAAGCTGACTTTTTTTTTTAACTTCATTTTTGAAGTGTTCTTCTGCTGGTTTTTACCCACTAGTGACTTTATACTTATACTAATATGACTCCTAGTCTCTGTCACCTATTGGAAAGTGTGGGAAAGGTAATGAAGAGATGACCTAACACCTGTAGGTGACCTGCTGGACAGTTCTAGGTAGCACATAATGGGTTACTCACTTCATAGTGTCTTCATTGCTCCACTGGCTTTGATTTGACTTTAACACAAAGTTTTCTTTTTAACATGTTCTATGATGCTTTTTTTACCAATTTCTATACATACAATTTCTATCAATAGAAAGTGTTTGTTTCTTTGATTTCATTCTGTTTACTCTTCATTTTAACCTGTATGAACAAGAAGAGACTAAGGCTTGCAGTTTACAGTAGCATTGAGTTTTTCTCCATCTTATGTTTTCCTGCTGGTACTGAGTTCCCTCTCTTTCCAGACACTTAACTGTGTTAGTGGTTATTTGCTGCAGCATGAATCCATAGTACTGACTATTTATGACTCCATGCTCCCTTTTTTTTTTTTTTTAATTTTCTAATGAGTGGCTTCAAGAGTAGATTCCTATTTAGAATACATATATTAGTGTCTTACAACAGGAGTCACTTTTTCTGCTGTGTTCTTGGAATTTCTTACATATTAGCATGCAGTGATTGGTAGTAAGCCTCATGGAAATAGCCTTGTGTTTTGCAGATGTTGAGTGCTTAGAAGATGGGTTCTCTTGTGCAACCTTTACTGAATCTACTACGGTGTCAATGCACACACTTTCACAAGCTGCAGTTTAGAGTAGACTGGTGTCTACTCCCAGCAGCTCACAAAGCTTGGTGACCTTGTTATTTCAGTAGTGTTGATTTTCTTGTGGCAAAGGAAGGTAGGAAAAAAATACATCACTTCATGTAGAACTGTAACAGACCTTGAAATAAGGACAAAACTAAAAGGTGAATTCTTCTAAATTTGGAGATGGCTCAAATCTGAGGTTTGGTAAAACTTTTGCTCTGCAACAGCAGTCTATAAATGCTGGATTAAATAATTTGTTATTTCAAAGTTTTGATGGTTTTAGGTGTCGCTAGCTGCTGTCATGCCCTTGTTTCCACTTGGACACGAAATCTGAATATCCTGAATTTCCTTTAAAGATTTTTTTTTTAATTGACACGTATCTCAAGTTACTTCTGTTGATGCTTAGACACAAGTGACTTGCATAAACACTTGTTGAGCTTTGTATCTGTGTAAGATGTACTGTGCATGTTAGCCGATTAGTTGCTTCATGGATAGAGTTAGAAGAGGCAGATGGCTTGGAAGTTGCACATATAAAGCAAAAAATAAAAGTAAAGAAGCCACAGCAAAGATCTCAGTCTTGAGATTCCAGTGATTGTGTCTTCAGATCTTCCAAAGATTTTTGGATCTTCATTCAGAGTCTATATCCCTGTTCTGGCAACGGGTAAGCAGTGATCAACTACCTGCAATAAGAGGTTTGAAACATTCTTTGAAAGGAGAAATTTTATCCTATGTTACAATGTACTCCAACCTCCCCTACTTCAGTCCTACATAACAAATCTGCTTTTAAATCCCTTGAAGTAGAACCTGGAAGGGTCTGGTAAAAAAAAAAAAAATCCAAGAAGTTATCTCATTTTCTAGTTTTCCATCTCTTTGTGCAGATGGTTAATATAAAGCAGATCACATCAAGAGGATTTGTAGTGCCACATCTTTCCTCCTTTCCTTCCCCATACAGTTCTATATGAGGAAGAAAAGAAAAACTCCAGAGGGTCTTGAATTCTCTTGTCATAGAAATGTATGATCAAATCCTTGCTATGTCACTTATGGCATGCACCAAGTTAGGGGGATGGTATATGTGCATTTTTTAACATGTCAAAGCTGAGTTTTTAGGACAAGATAAGTTTTGCATATTTAAATATTCAGATCCACTCAAATCCAAGTATGTATTATTGAGGAAGAATACTTTACCTGATTAGTACCCAAATTAAAATTTCATAAAGTAATTATTACTGAATCCCAGGCAGAGAAAGTCTTAAATCCATTAATCATCTCAGAATAGGTAGAAGAATTACCTGGAAGAGATTTCTGAATGTACATTACGAGTGATATACTGTATGTAAATGACTCAGAGCTATTACTTATTCAAAGATTTTCTACCTTGAAAGTTCTTGGTTTGGTTTGATTTTTTTTAATTATTATTTTTATTTATTTTTACTGTAGATTGAGTTTTCCTTATTACCTCAACACCTCTGTTTAAGTCCATTTGGTATCTGGATTTAGGCATGATGGGATTACAAGGAGGTGGCCCTGATCTGTACATTTATGTTTTTGGGTTTGATTCCTTGTCAGAAAAGTCTCAGCAAATAATACAGGAGTATAAACAATGTTACAAGTAATACATTTGCTTTTGTAAGATAAAACAGTGTTTTGTAGGTCAGAGTTGTTTTTATTCCTGTATAATCCAGGGTTCATTTCAAATCAGTGAAGATATTAACAGTCTAGCAGTGAAGTTTTAGCTCTA